TTTTTTTTTTAAATTTTTAATGTGGTTTTTCTTCTAAACAGCAATTTGTAAAATTTTGAAATTTTAGCAACCTTCAATTTTTTTTCCACTTCCACCCCTTTTTAAGCTATCACATCCCGGAATTCGTAAAATTTGAATTTTCGACAACTAAGTTTTCTGAAATTGTAATCATTTAAAAATTTCTGTAAAAGCAAAACCGTAGCGCTAAATGTTTTCCCTCACGTAATGGATCCTTGAATTCGAACATTATGAACATTTTTTTTGTTTTTCTTATCCTAAATATATGCAATAAATTGAAATATTTTCGTGTATGATTAAAAGTAATTTATACATAATGTACGTAGTAGATTTGTTATTAAAAGCAATATTTCCACTTGTTCAAGAGGACACCCAATAAACACAATACCCACTTATTTCTTTACAAGATATTGGTTTGATCCAACTTTATTTTTTAAAAAATAAGAGGAAATTTGTACTCGTAATAAAATTTGTTCCGAATTTATTTATTTAGAACACAAAACAATACAATTGTATCTTACTAATACTTCTATATAGATAATCTATTTTGGAATTTAATTATAAAACCACTAGCCATTAAAATATCTTGGATTCAATTACAATATTCTTCTTTTATATCCAACAGCACAAATATCTATTGTATCTACATAATATTTTTATATTAATATTATTAAATAATTGAAACCATAATTTTTAAAATCTTATCCAATTTAACTATTCTTCTATAATATTGATTAAATCAAAAATTTCTTCTTTGACGTATCATTACAGCTGAAACCTAATATCAATTTTTCAATTAAGTAAATAAAACAAAACTTAAACACGAAAATATCCAAAAAAGAAAAAAATAATAGAAAAGTTTTCCTTTCTAAAAGAAAACAAAACAAAAAATATGAAAAATGATAGCAATCAATTGGCTTATTGAAAAATAAAAAAAAAAAATTCTTTTAAATTCGATTTTGATTTTCTTTTGTCATGGTATTTGTATATATAGACAATCAAGAAAATGGTTGAGCTATTAAAGTTTCCTTATTACTTTTTAAAATTGAAATAAAAAGAAACAATGAGTCTAAACATAGAGGTAAAACATTTAAATAGAAATATTAGATAAACTTTTTGAGAAAAGGAGATAAGAATTTTGAAAAATTATAATAGGATATACTTTTCTTTGTGTAGATGAAGTATGTTTCAAAATTATGAACACACAGTCTCTCGATTTCATGCGAATATTTACATTTTTTAATTCACTTGATTTTAAAATATATTCGAAAGCGACATGAATATCCTTATAAAGTAAATGGAGAAACGTATACTAGACACCCGTTGGCGTCGAACTTATTGACCCCGTAATACCAATACATACAGCCCTTAAAACTCTACCTGTCTTGTAGTTGTATCTCCTCAGTATCAACGACGCAAGCGCTCCATAGATGAGGATTGATATTAAATGACCTTGCAAAATTTCAATCTCGACCCCACCTCAACCATTTTCTTGCAAGTGTATTTAGCTTTCTTAAACGTTAATCATAATATTAAGCTTTGAATCCAACACAATACCCAAGTTCTTAATCGTCGAACAGCAAGAAATACACCACCAAGTCTGTTCAGCCGATAGTCCGGAAATTTAGTTTTTATTGTGAAAAGTACTAACTCTGTTTTCTTCGATCTTCTATGATATTGCTAAGCGATCTCTCCACAACTCTGCTAAACAAAGACTGTTGTAGAAACGATGAAAAAATCGGACAATTTCGAAGAATAATTTAATGTAACCTGACAGTATTTAAGAATATAAAATGTCAAAAATACATACGTTTGACAAATAATAACGTCATGTAAGAAATGCCACTTTGTTTACATGTAAATTAATTATGCATATTGTATTACTCACTTATTTGATAAAAAATTATATTTAAATTTTTTCAAATTAAATATTTACTTTTTATATTCCAAAAAACTCACTGTTTACTTGAAAATTTACGTAGCATATCATTAAAATATAAAAATTAATTTTTTCAAAACACTTTACATTTTTTTTCTATTTAAATTTAATTAGGCTTGTAGAACAAAAAAAAACACACAATACTTATTTCATTTAACCCCTTTTCTTATATTCCATAGTGATTTTAAATTTCTATACACAAACTATTTTATTACACATATTTTACATGAAAATACCTTATTCCACATACCCACATACACCGATCTTTATAATATGTTCGAAAAATATATGCTCAATTTTTTTTTTTGACATAATTTCTCTTTTATTTTAGTTTGTCGATTCACGTCATAAATTTATAATCCCTCATAGGTTATTCAATATACATATAATAACCTTAGCTCACCATAGAACACTACTTGGTATTAACTAAACTAACAAAATTTATAGAAAATGTTATAATCGTATACACATTCACATATACATTATATTAAACCATAAACTTTGAATAAAAATTAGAGAAAAATAATATACGTTATTTGTGTATATATGTATGTAATAAAATCGACAACAACATGAAGAAATGTAAAATTTATGTTTACAAATGATATGTTAATGGCGCCGAGATTTTTTTTTTCTCTCTTCTTATTTAATATTTAACTACAGGAGTGTTGTACTAAATTGACATATTTACTGAAAGATATAAATTATTTATGAGATTCCTTACGGTATAATATGTAGGTATAAATATGTTTTATTCATATATACATATAAACGTCAAAAACAGTGGATACTATTTTAATTTTACTTAAGATATAGATGTATGGTATGCTTAGATTACCTTTAAGTAGAATTTAAAAAAAAATATGTAGTTCAATATAATATTTTGATTACTAACATTTGAGAATTGAAAATTGACTTTAAAAAAATTAAATGTTATAAAAAATTTAAACTCTGTTAGACGTACTGTTATAACATTAGAAGGAAGAAATATAAAAGCAAATACTTTCATTCTTTTCTTTATTCTTTTTTCATTCTCTTAAGCGAAATCTCCATATCACCTTCTTCAAGTTCAATTTTACTTCACCCAGCACTACAGGCCTCCTTTACGTTAGTCTTCCCTGAAGAGTTTCCCTAGACTTATCACGTTACTCAATGCTCTGGTCACCGAGAAGTTATTTCAGCTACCTTGAGATGAGCTTCCATTTTAATTCAAGTTTCAAATATTTAATTTAATTCAAGTTTCAAATATCAGTCCACTAACATTTATTGAAAAATTTTCGTTTGATTAAATACATTGTTATATGTTTTACAATCAATTCAAATCTCACTTGAATAAAGTCATGCAAGAGCCGTTCTGGGTTGCGGCCTTTCAAGTTTTTCTGGGCGATTATAACTAGAAGCGGTTGGGCCTGGAAAGTGAGAGCACTTGCATGCTTTGTAGGAAAATGAAGATAACTCCGATGCATTTTCATGGTGAGTGTAGAGCGTTGAATCTACAGAAGAAGCGAGTCCCTGCAACAAAAGAGCTGTGAGAAATCTAACCCCACAAAATGAAGGAATTTAGCAGAAGAATAGGTCCCGAGAAACGCTTTAAGCGTGAGACACCATTGATCCAATTCTTGACCTGCAGTGCATATTTACCCCATGTAATCTAATGAGTTGATTAGAATCTAATCTAATGAGTTGATTAGAATCTAATCTAATGAGTTGATTAGAATTAGTAAAGTTGGAATTTTTATATGAGTCTTAACCTTCTCTTCTCTTATTTTTCTAAGTTTCAGCCATAATAATCCCACTATTTCCCTCTCTGCCCGTTTTCATTTTCATCATCTTCTTACCCAATCAGAATAGATGACAATCACTTCTTCTGTTTTAATATAATTAGTTTATCCGATGGATATGAGTATCTGTAAAATTATCTTTATTTTAGATTTTATTAGGATGCTATATACGAGTAGTTCCATTCAAATCCTCTTTCCTTATATAACTTTTGTGGTTTTGAGAGTTCTGTATCAGAATTCCAATATTTTCTTGAAACCTAAACTATTGTTCTTAATCATATTATTTATTCATATCGCATTTGTCAATATTGATATATAAGAATTCATTGAATATCCTATACCAATTTCACTCTTTCTATATTAATTTTCTAGAAAATTATCATTATATTTTATTAAATTCTTAAAACGTGTAAACATTTTGAAAGTAATTTAATATTTAATAATAAAATTATCATTTCTAATATATAAGAAGTGAAATATTCTCTTCTTATATGTCTTTTTCGATTTCAATTAATGAAAATTTTTTTACACAACAAAAAAAAATTAGATTCGCAAGGAACACAAAAATAAATGTCATGTATGGTCATTAGTTTTTATATAATTCAAGGTTCGTTTCACAATTTCATATAGATATTATATAAAATTGTGATCACATGCCATAGATTTTTATCTAAAATTTAAAGATGTAAGTACATAAAAAAATTTTTTTTTTATTCTCTTTGTTCTTCATAACTCTAATAGGATTCAAATTTATTGCTTTATTTTAGACCCAAAACGAAAAAGAAAATTCTTTTGTTAAAATTAAAAAGCAAAAAGAAAAACATCAAGAAATTTTTCATTGGGAAATTGCATAATTTTAGGGAGTTTTCCTTTTTTGTATACCCTTTTTTAAAAATAAAGAAAAAAAAAACATTTTTTTTATTATTTTGGAAAAATACGTACAAATAAAATTTATACATATATACACATATACAAAATATGCTTTATGTGTGCATGTAAAATATAAAAGTTCCAATTTATTTTTTTTTTCTCTCTTTAATTTTATCGCATGACACAGTATCTTCACCTTATCTCTATATTAATAACCGTAAAAGAATTCACTAGGGGACCCTATAATATCCTATGTGTTTTGTTTTCTCTTTCTAGTTTTTTTTCTCTCTCACTCTCTATTCCTCTGCTTTCTCCCCCCACTCCACCTCTTTTATTTTTCATATGTTATATAAAATTTATTAAGGAAAATTTATATAATGAAAAATATTTACCATTCCGTTTCATTTCATTCAATATTTTTTTTGGTAACATCTAATAAATTTAGATGCGCCTTTCTTTTAACCTAAAAATAGAAAATACGAATATTGTAAGTTTTTGTATTCGTATACATATATACACATATATATATATATATATCTATTTATGTGAATATTTATAGAGATGCATAAAAATTTATTGTATGCTTCAGTAATTTTTCTCAATATTTTGCGTCATTTTACAACAAAAAAAAAGCACACACTTGAATATTAGAATATACAAACAAAAGTACTAATATATGAGAATATTATTTTAATGTAGGTACATAGTTTTCCTACATGAAAGAAAAAAGAAATTGATGTGATCAGCACACAACCGGCAACACTATTTTCTGAATGTTATTAAAATTTTAAAAAATAAATTTTAATTAGTTTAACGAGAGTGTCACACAAAATTCCATTTAAATTCTTACTTAGTATAGTAAGCGGTATGTTAGAACTTGAAAGTTCTAAAATGTTAATTTTGTTCTTAATAGAAGTTCACTATCTGGAACCCATTTTACTGAAATGTGTGTCAGTTAACAAATAGAACTCAAATAGCAAACATTGAAAAAAAGCCAAAATAAATGATCTCAGATCCGGTTTTGTGGGCATTCTGTCAATGTCAGTCATTTGGGATAGACTTGGCGTAGATGTTACTGGGTGATATGATCATGCAGAGTTTTTCCTTCCATCTTGTTCAAAGAAATTTTCCTAAGAGCTGCTGAGGAAAAATCGAAAACGGGTTCGTACTATTACTGGCTTCTTTAATGTGCATTGTCTGTTGAAACATTATTGCACAAACTAGACAAATCAGACTGCTTGTGTAGATTCTGCTGTAACAATAAGGAATAAGCCATACATATTCTATGTGACTATTATATTCTGGCCGTCAGAAGGGACAGATGATTTCAGCCGAACTTTCTCAATGTTGGACATTTCAACCGAAACTGCGATACACGAATGTAAACACAGGCAGACTGACAGAGTGATTAAAGATCTCTCTAAAAAAATAGTTTATTTACCGTTTTTTTTACAAAAGAGATGTACATTTTGAATGTAAACTAGACATGTAAAATTATAGGCACCATAACAATACTTCTCTTATTGCATGCAATATACAAGGAAAAAAAATCTTACTGTTTCAAAATTTGTTATTTTTTCACCCTTTTAGTTTTTTATACTATAACCTTACTTTTTAAAATTTTTATATTTTTTAAAAATCTTACCCCTCTCCTTGATTCCTTTCAAGCAAAAGTTATATCCAAATATCAATATATACTTATAAGGAATACATTATTGAAAAAGTAGAATAACGAAACCAAAAAACAAACATGGACGATGAACATGAGTAGGTGCAATATTAAAATTTCTCATAGACAATTTTACTTGACACAAACATTACTATGTAAATATTTTCCCTTGCAAGCCTTAACTAAAATCTATTCCATATCAGATTATTACCAACATTTTTAGTTTATATATTCATGTATACTTGTATATCATATTATAATATACATATTTATAATGATTTCAATTTACAAATATTTGCAACTACATGTGAATTTGTGCTTCTTTTTTTTTTTTATTTCAAATTGTCTCACTTCACTTATTCCATCAAAATTTACTTCACATGACACCAAATAATAATGGCAACAATATAACAAAAGCAATTGCGAATATTCTCTTCACCTTATATTTTCTCTCTATAAATGTATATATATTCACGTACATACATACTAACATACAAAAATTATAATCTCTGTAGATCATTCAAGAAAGATAACTGATTGCCTAGCTTTTAACAATATTTTATAATACCACATCGGTGACAGTTTTATATTTAAGATTTTGTTGTGTTTAAATTTCAATACTTTGTATATACATATATATATTCCTAGATGTTATATAATAATGTACACAGTATACATAGACTTATTACTTTTACTTACACGTGTGTGTAATATATTAGTACATTTAAGTATAAAGTGAATATTAGAAAGCATTCTTATAGTACATTGGGATGTAAACTTGATTTCTACACACAATGTATTTTAGAATTTTTTTTTTTTCATTTTAGAAAGATCCTTTGACACTTTGAGTAACTGATGTAATGGCAAACATGTTTTCAACTTATATATACGTACATATTATGTGGATATCTACAAGTTTTACATGTTAGATAATAAAATAAAAAATTATTGCCAACACAATATAATAATATCGTATACACACATATACATATAATTTACATATAGATATATATGTATAACAAATAGGAAATGTATTATACGCATTATAAAGGAACTTATATATGTATAAGAAAGGAAAGCGACATGAAGATAATAAAGAAAACAAAATAAGGAAAATAAGCAAAATAAAAAAAATTTGGTAACGCGCGGTACAAAGATATTTTTAAGATACACTAGGAAGAAAAATATTGAAAATAAATTTTTATAATAAAAAAGATAACTTTTATACATTATAATTCATATATATTATTATACTTGTATTGTGTAATGTACAAAAATATTATAGAGGAATAGAAAGATATTAAGGTGACCAACCATATTTTCTAAAAAATTTATTGAAAAAATTTTGGAAATTCAAATTGCCGCACATTTTATCTACACATGTTTAGATCACAAACTATTATTATAATTCTTCATAATTGGCTGAAAAAACCAGTTGGCGTAGCAATTTACCTTCGTTAACTTACTACTAATTAAAAGAAATTTATTTTTATGCGTTTGTAAGAAGCAATTATGAATATAGGTTAAGGGATGGTTGTCCACTTCTAATTCATTCTGCCAGCAGCAGTAATTGTGGGTTACCCTGTCGTTTACTGAGCAATTCAACCAACTGATTCACGTATCTTGTTCCCTAAATATATAAAAATGCTATTTGAAAAATATCACCTGCCTTATTCATTTACATTTTGTTTACTCTATTGTCGCATTTCTACAATAAGGTATACAATATTTAGTAAAATTTAATTTGCTGTTTGTAAATTTGCGACGAATTCTAGTGAGTATAGTAAATTTAAGGGTTTTTTCTAAATTACTTTAAAAATTTTCAAAATGATGTAATAAATATTTTTTCCCTATATAAGCCCCTCATTATACTTGTATACAATCATTTCAAAACTCAATAAATTGAAAAAATTATGAATGCAGGGTCTAAAACACAAACTCTTATATTCAAATTATGAAACAATACAAAAAAAAAAAACATTTTTTAAATAGAATATTTTAAATAAATTATTCAAACTTAAATATTAAATAATAATCTTTTATAAACAAAACGAAAAAAAAAACTTGAATAAAAATTAAAAACCCTTGGGAACCTTTTTTTGCACATTGATCTTTGAAAATCTCAATAAAGAAAAAAAAACCATAAAATGACACGAAAAAGCAAAAATATAGGAAAAAGATAAAAATTGTATTTTGCTGAAAAATAAATTATCCCCAAATTTTATGGCATTAAACGTTTATTATAGATCTTTTTTACATACATACAAACATATTTCATATTTTTTTTTTCTTTTGGCTTCGTTTTGTTTTTATTTTTTATAAGGCATGTTTCTTTACTTTATACTTTATTTATTTTGCGACATAAAACTCTTTTAACGCATGCATGAGTGTAACATGCATTGATAGTCCAAGAGTTCGCAAGTCTAGATACGCAATATAGTACACATACAAATATACATGTAGTCTCTTTTCAATGGCCTCAAAAAAAAACACAAAAACAAAAAAGATATGGAAGAAATCGAAGAGATTTTCACCAAAAAATTCAAGGATACCAGAAAATAGAAAGACGAAATTGTGTACTTTTTTAGAGAGGAACAAGTAAAAAATATTTGTTTTTTTTTTTTAAACATTAAAATTCCTTAATGGAAACTTAAGAGATTTCCGCTCCTGTACAAAAAATTTACTCACTTTTTATCTTCATTCTTGTAACGAATATTTTTTTTTTCAACATTTTTTAATTCCTTCATTGTTATTTATTGTTTCTAAGATGATTCTGGATTTTATTGATTTTTTATTTTGTATTTTGATAACGTAGCATATTTTGACAAAGGACAAGAGTAAAGGGACACAATTATAAATTTAAATTTTATAGTTATATTTTATATCATGAAATTTTCATAATCTCCCGAAACTCAAATTAAAAAGTTTGGCAATATATTGATGCTCCAACAATCTAGGTACAAATTTTTATTATGCCTATACTATCAATATAATTTTCGATCTGGTTTTAGAAGCCATACATTTACCTCAGAATTTTAAATCATAATTACGTATAGCTGCTAACAAGTTACAAATTATAAAAATCAAATCCTTATATACTAAATTTTCTTTGTTTGAAATTTTAACATTTTCTGAATCCATTAGCACAAACTAAAATTCTTATAAAAATAATACAAAAATAATTATATGAGAAATACGTTCACAACATGCGATGGATTTTAAAAAATATCTAACAGAGTTTTATTTAATCCTAACTAATAATAATAAAATAAAGCAAAATAGACCACTAAGTTTTCATTTTCTCTTATTCACAATTCTTACTTATAAATGAAAAGAAAAATTAAATACAAAATGCGGAAGATGTAAAGGATATAAGAAATTAATTTTTTTTCTAAAACAAGACAATAATTGTATTTTTGTAATTATGATTGTATAGTTTATATATAGTTATATTTAAAGATTATCCTAGGGTTATACGACATATCTGCTCTGCTCAAATACAAACACAATAATTTACAGATACCTACAATTTTTCTGTTCTTACATAGCTCTTTTTCCCTAAATGAAATATTTTCAATATGATATATAAAGATCGACACATGTATATGTCCAGATACAGACACATATATGTATACTGAAGTTAGAATATATAGAATGTATACAACTTTACAAACATAAAATTATTTCCAATATTAAGTTAAAAGTAAGAAACACGTCTGTTGAAATAAAAGAGAAGAAAATCTTATGATCCAATGAATTCAAAAGAAAAATCCCGCAAAGTGTTCTTACTTTTT